CGTTGGATGGACCGTTGGGCCGTCTCGTTGTATGGGCCTAAGACCGCAGTAAATAGGCCGTGTCAGCCTTTCAAGGACTTGCATGCATGGGAGGCGGCGACGTGGGTTTGCATGCGTGGGAGGCTGCGACGTGCATGCATGCGAGCAAGGAGATCAAGGCGCGCTAGGCGTGCTAGGCTAGCGAGGCCAGCTAGGTGGTTCAGGGCAGCGAGTCAGATGCACCGTCCGGTCAAAGAGCTATGTAGTGATTCAGATGCACGCACGCGCCCCATGCATCGTTTTTGTGCAAAAAGTTAAGAGTGCAAAACGTAACGGATACACACACGCGTTCGGATTCACACACGCACCGTTCTCATCCTTTCTCTCTTCCTCTTCCACCCACAGGCCTATAAATGGGGTGCCTCTCTTCCTCTCCCACCCATAATCCAGATCCGATCCATTCTCTCCAACTTCAAACACCCAATCGACCGAGCCCTCCCCAAGCGAGACCACACAGTTCAACGGGCCGACCTTCAGCCGTCCGCCTGTCGTACCGGAGCTGCGCTACCCACCGGGCGTGCTCATGGAGAGGGAGCTCCATGTGTGGGCTATTTCAAGGTGGAGGGGTTCCGTCGAACTCACCCATGCCTTCCTCAGAGACGGCTATGCCCACCTCCCACGGGGCTCGCCGAGGATGTTCACCCTCAACGAGGTTCGTGACCGCGGCGGCATCCTCCTACTGCTCGCGGTCACCTTCACCAACCCATTTCACGCGCGCGAGCTCCTCGGCCAAGTCTTTTGGTGTGGCTGCGAGGCCATCTTCTTCACCGCCTACAACATCTACACCAACTACGAGAGCATCTTCCCCACTCCAGCCGGGATGCACTCCCTTCCCTACGACGAGGAGGAGGAGGTGTGAAGATGAAGACGGTGTTGAAGGGGCGCGCGCGGCCAAAGTGGAAGAAGGAGGTCAAGATGAAGATGTTCAAGCCCGGAGTCAAGCTCGTCATGTTTCGTTTTTTATTTGTTGCTTTTCTATGTCGTGTTGTGTCGTGTCATGTTTCGTCATGTGTCTGTGAACTTATTATTGTAATGGTACGGTGTGTTGGATCTTATCTAAGTTATTAGGGTTTATTATGTGTGTTAAAAAATGTTCGTGCCCAAACATATCATTTCTTCCCTAAACCAAGTCATGAAGTTCGAGAACTTGTGGTTTTCATTAATGAAAATCGGAGGGGGTGAGAAGCCCTCCGTTTCATTCAAAAAAAATAAGTCATGAACTAACATGCAAATTTATTCCCTTTAGATCCTAAACCAAGTGCCACTCTAACCCTAAACCAAGTGCCACTCTAACCAAACCCACGTGGCGGTGCAAACATACGTTTTCAATCTTCCAACCCTCCAAAATTTTAGTGCAAAACAAAGGAAAACCACTCTCACGCGTGTGCAAACATTCACGGTCTCACTAATTTGTTTGACAACTTTCATAGTCTCACTATGTATACCTTCCTTCCCTACCCATGTCAAAGTCTTGTCATCTGTCCTAGCGGTTACCAGCGCAGCCCTAAACACCACAAACCCACGCGGTCCTGGTTTCGAGTCCCCAGCCGCACCAATTTTTTGTGCATTTTCCACCCTTCATTTTTTAGACAAATTAGTTTTTTATCAATGTAATGCCCTTAAAAAATGTTCATTTATTTTGGCACCAGGTGTAAACCTCTACCAGAGCTGAGGCACATTTTCCATGACATTTTGGTCTTTGATTTAAATCATGGTGTATTTTAATTGGATTAATTAAATTGCTATGAAATATTTAACAACTCCAAAATATTTCTAACCTTAATTGTTTGGCTCTGGAATAATTCAATTAGCTTCCATAAAAAGTTTCAACATTATGATTTACTGCCTAAATTAAATCAGAACAGAAAATAGAAAAACACGCAAGAGAACCCCCGAATGGGCCTAATTGGATGCAGTTGGCCCATTAGTCTAGCGTGCACTTGGCTCTACGCTCTGAATTTGGCCCAAGAGCAACCTTTTTTTGACAGAAAGGAAGAGCAGAGAGCTGCATTTCATTGATCAAAAGTTTCTGAATTCCTCATTTCTTCTCCTTTTTTTCAACATATTTAAATGTTGGTCACTTCTCCTCTTTTTTTTCAACATTTAAACAACTATGACCAACATTTAAACTAGGTGAATTTCTCATACAATTTCAAGATTACAAGTGCCTCCATAATTCATGCCTTTCCATACATTTTCAACATTACAACCAGTGCGATTACCATACCTACAAATGCCCAAAAGTATTTGCAAATGGGTATTGGTAGTGCTTGATCTTCAAGCTTCCTAACCTTATTCTTAAACATCCTAAGCTTAACAGCTAGCTCTCTGTCAGTGCGTGCTTCGCCCTCCATCTCTTCTTCCGGAGCTCGTGCTGCGACCACTGCGGTTCGTGGCAGCATGCGCAACCATTCTTCATGCTCTTCTTGCAGTTCATTTATCAGAGTCTTGGCCAGAGCATCGACCCAAAGAAAGAAGCATGTCACCTGCATGAACATGAAACAGATCAACCCATTGCTCAAAGATCCCGACCACGAAAATGGTGCAATTGCCCCGATTCTTACCCCATTCTCGCTGCACACGTAGAACAGACGATTCTGGTTCCTCAGTGTGTGAGAAACCCTCCGATCAATGCTCGCCTGGCACCGCGGACAGATGAAGACAGGCATATCCACACGCGCCCGGCTATGCATCCGCGAGGTGGCGCGGGAGCTTGAGGAAGACATGGAGCTCGGAGCTGAACGGGATTTCAACGTCGTCGCGCCCTCCACAGCTAGCTTCCCACCGCCGCGCCCTCAACAGCTAGCTTCCCACCGCCATGCTACCTCTCTCGCCGTGGTCACCGCTGTGCTCTCTGTCGCCGTGGTCACCGCCGCTGTCGCACACTTATATAGCACACCCGCAATGACTCTCTACTCAACGGCTCTCTGCAGGGTCCCACAAGCCACGCATGCAATGATCTGAATAAAATTGGCCATCTCTGCCACCTGGTCCCACCTGTAAGGGCCGAGTCAATAGGTTGACCTGACGGAGACGCCAGAGTTCACGGAATGAGTTCAATGACAAAGACGAAGATCTTCTGGTCGCTGAGGAATTTGTTCTGACTGAGAAGTTAGGAATTCGCCAGTGCAGATTGCCTACACAGTGAGGAACATGATAGCCCTGAGGAATTTGAACCTCAAATATCCGACCGTTGCTGTGCTACACGCCAGCTGTCCCAAAATATCTACCCACCTAACGGTCATATCATTGAAGGGCATTTATGTCTTATCATGTCGGGCTGCTACCTAGGCTATAAATAGCCGCCCCCTACAACCACTAGTTGATTGGCTGCTCCGAGAGAAACTGACACTTGTCATTGAGAGCATCCCATCCTCCGAGGACTTTGAGCGAAAATCATCAAGTGAGAAAACCCAAAACCCAAACCCAAACACCTACAAACCCAAAGTGATTGAGCGTCATTGAAGAGATTATTCCTGTGTGGACCCGACGCTTGTTACCTTTGAGGATTGTGTATCCTCCATACGGTTAGGCGTCATGGTTTGAGCATCCAAGAGGAATTATGGATCGCCGAGTGACCAAGTCTGTGAAGGTTTGGAAGTCACCTGTGAAGACTTACCACGAGTATTGGGCGAGGTCTATGTGACTCTAGCTCAAGGAGAATACGGTGAGGACTGTGTGTCCTCGAGTTTAAATACCCAGCCGCTCCAACCAGACGTACAACTGTCACAGCAGTTGGAACTGGTTTACCAAATCATTGTCTTCACCCAGCCAACATGTTCTATTTCTTCAACCCTTTCATTTTCTCATTCATGTGTTGATGAACCTGATCATTACTGTTTAAAGACTTTGAATGAAGACTTTCTCTAATTCCTCAATTCAATTTCTTCAGTCACATTGTCTTCAGCATGCTTATCCTATTTTCACGCTATCTGTACTATGTGCTTGTTTTCATTTCATCATGATGACTATGTTGTTGCTCTGTTATGCTTATACCTGAGTACTTATTCCGCTGCTAGTGTGTCGTTGCTTTGGAATTTCATCAGTGACGAATTTGTAAAAATCGGATATCCCCCCTCCCTTAATCGATATAACACACTTTCATTAATAGATATTTATAAATATTTTTTTACATATCTTATAAGATTATCAATATTAATAAACCATTATTTACACAATAGTTTTATATATAATATAGATATTAATAAATCATGTCCATATATTTCTTATAAGAAGACATTAATGAATGATTTTGAGTATACTTCTTGTGTTCAGCAAATCACACAATTAATAAAATACATTTTTTAATAAGATAGATTTTAATAAATTATTTATATATATTTCTTACAGGAAGACATTAATGACCGTTTTTAATATATTTCTCGTATTCCAGCAAAGCACACAATTAATACAAGATATTTCAACATGAGTATACGTTAATAAAATATTTCTATATATTTAGTATAATAAGGAGACATTTATGAACAATTTCAATATATTTCTTGTTTTCAACAAAGCATAGAATTAATACAAATTTTCTATATACTATAAGATGGATGCCAATTAATGTAGACATTAATGCGTGATTTCGGTGTATATCTCATATCACAGCAAAGCACACATTGAAAGCTGCTTTTGCATACATTACCACTACTATACTGAACGTATTTTGTCTCTGTGTATAACCGACAGTATATGCAGCCAACACCAACCGACGGTAGAGCACCGCGCCCCGCTCCACGGGCGAAAGAGCTCGCTTCACTGCATCACTCACTGACAGCCCATCTCCACCTAAGCGTCCCTGGCCTCTCGTCCATGTGTTCCGTTCGCCCCGTCTATTTCTTCTCCTTTGCTTCTCCCCGGAGGAATCCCTCCCCTTATCCCAGCCCCGCTTTGCTCATGAGCTTTCGATTTAGCTTTCTCGATCTCTAACCTCCTCCGCCCTCCCTCCCTCCATCGCTATGCCCATAATTGCACCCGTCGCAAATAATGGTGGCCCTCGTCGCTCTCTAACCTGGTTCGTCGGTGGAGGTGCCCCCATCAGCGCAGCACCCTGGAGTAGTGGGGTAGCGGAAGAACCCACGCCCGTCGTGTGGCCTCGCCGAGCTGGCGCGGGCCACCATTATTTGCGACGCCTGCGAACGTGGGTTCCCCGAATCCTGCGTCCACGTCTTTGGTCCACTTATGCGCCAGCCTCCACCACCACCGCTGCCCAGCCGTGTGCGGGTGCGGCGGCCTCCGGTAGCGGTGACCAAGGACTGGATGGGCAAGAGGGGTCAAATTTTGTTCAAAATTGTGATGCAGGTAGTATGGGTGATGAAATTGTGTCAAAATCAAAGGAGCCAACCCCTGATACTGATACTACTTCCTGTGAGGAAGCGTCATCTTCAACAGCAGTCAAGCCAACAAGATTGCTAGCTGTTAACGGTGGCTTGGTTCCGGAGTCATCACTGAGGCCTGTTACAGGAAGAAACTCTCATATCCTGAAGCAGCAAAAGATCAATTTGCTTGATATAGATGCAGCGTTGCCTGAGGAAGCTTTGAGAGCCTCAAAGTCTCAACAAATAAGAAGGCATTCACGGCGTGCTTTTGTGAAGCGTGCAGAATCAATATCCGAGGTGACTCACTTGATCTGTTATATTTGTTCACCTTCGGACGTACCGCAGAAAATATATATCTATCTGTAGCACAGTAGTGTTTATTACAGTATTTCTGTGCTGATTATCTAGCTAGCGTCCATTAAGAGCTGTCTAATATCATCATCTCCATTCAAAATAAATGCTTGAGAGCGCTGATGTTTATTATACATTGCACTGATTGATTAATCGTATCTATTTTCTATGCCTCTTGCAGATGGTAGTAGCGACCAGTGTCTTGGAGAGTATGATAAAATCTGAGTTCCTTAAGAATGATTGTTGGTACTGGTCCTCCTTCACAGTAGCCATGAAGACCTCAACTGTATCCATGCTCGCTCTCAGGATCTACACTCTCGACGACTGTATCATGTACACCAAGGAGCCTAACATCGTGCTGGCGACAAAGGTTTTAAACAAGGGGAGGACGAGGATAGAACCAGAACCATCGGTGTCATAATCTGCGCCGCTTGATCTATTGTATACCCCAGACTTAAGATGTTCTGCAGAGCAGTGCAAAACAATTTGATGCTGTGGTGATAGATAGAGATGCTATAGACAGTCTTCCGTTATGTGGTCCCTTGAGACTTTAGGGCTAGCTTTGATTCAGGTGTTCCTGCAATGCTGCAACCTTGACCGTTCATATTAATAAGACATATTTACCAGAATATAGTTGTGCGCCTTACTTATGTTAGGGCCAACGAAGAAGGAAAACACGTTGTTTCTGTTAGCAAATAAGCCACGGCAGGCATGTGCAGTGTGTGCGCGCGCGCGCTGGGCGCGTCGGGTCCTGGTCCATGGCCATGTCGAATCCGTGGTGCGTGCGTGTGTGTGCGCGCGTGGTGCGGGGTGTGCGGGTGTGAGGGCACTAATCACGTGTAAGTAGGCCTAGGTAATTAGTGGATCACGGGGGTGATCGTGCAGATCGCTGCAGGCTCGCCACGACCCGTGCACGTACGTGCGTGTGGTTGGCGCGAGCAGAGCGGGCCGATCAGGCGCTCATCTGGGTAGGAGGCATGGGGATCATGCCCCAGCGCGGGCAAAAAAAAGGCGAAGCCTTTGCCGAGTATTGTTCTCGGCCAAGGCTACTCAGCCCGAATCCTACCGGCAAAGTTGAGTTTGCCGAGAACAGAACACGGGGACTCTGCAAAGTCTTTGCCGAGAGGTAAAACGGGGATTCAAAAAAAAAAACTTCACGGGCCGGACGGAGACGGTGGCTGCCACGTGGCTGAAACTTTGCTGAGTACGTGTCGTAGGCACTTGCCGAGAGGTAAAGCGGATGAGTGAGACACGTCAGCACAATTATTTAGTTTCCGGAAATAAATCTCGACAAACGATGTAATTGCCAAATTTGTGTTTCCCGAGTGGCCCACTAGGCGATACGGACCCAGTCAAGCCCCAGGTGCCCCTGTTTGCCGAGATCCTTGATTTTACACTTGTCAAAGAAATGAACCATGCTTTCAGAGAAGGACACGTGGCTTTTTCGCTGAGTTGTGTTCTCGGCAAGTGCCCTGGAACAAAAGACATATACACAACAAAATTTTGTCCCCAGACAGTACCACATCATGGGCAATGCACAAGCATCATAAAAAGTTCAATATTCTTCATCAAATTAACTAAAGCATCATACCAAGTCTAAAGTTATTCATCAAACTAACTAAAGCATCATTACAAGTCTCAAATAGTCGCTAAAACCTCAATGTGATCCATTTGTCTTACATGGACCACACAGGCCTCAAACAGATGAAGATCAAAAGTGGGACAGAGAGATATTCATCCACTTCCACCAGGTCTGGTTTCTCCCTACTTGGAGCAAATACATGGAGTAAGCATGCTCTGCCTCCTCTCTAGTATCATACCCTTTGTAGCAATTGTCTATGTAATGATTGACTTGTTCATGGCATGCTTCCGATGAATCATAGACTCCTGGATGTCTACCTGAGTACACCACATACCACCTCATCTTTATAGAAGAGAGAATAACAAAATTTCAACACATAACAAAGTGTTAGAAAAACACATGCATGAAGACACACACAGA